GGGTCAGTTGGCCCAAATGGACTTATAGGACTGCCTAAGAACTTGTCCCTCCCCATGATAGAACACTTTCATTCATTCAGCCATTGGGGGCCTGACAAGCTATCAAAACCAATATTGGTAGGGGAGTTTTCTTTTTCTTTTTCTTTTTCTTTTTTTGGTAGGGGAGTTTTCACAGAGCTGCTGTCACGCCAACGAGATGTGTCCTGCTTGCCCCAAGGACAAATGCATCCAAGCCTCTGAAGCCTGCTCTCGGGCAGTTTCCTCTTCCAAATGCACCCTCTAGAACCTGTCAGGTTGATTTAATTCAATTGCTACCTGACCTTGGATGCAAATATGTTTTGGTTATGGTCTGTATGTTTTCCCGATGGGTGGAAGTATTCTCCTGTTGTACTGCCACAGCCTCTGGGGTAGCAAAAATCCTCTTAGAAAAAAATCATTCGGTTATGGGGGGGTGCTCCTAAAGAGATACATAAGTGATAGAGGTACTCATTTCACAGGAGCTTCATTAGCTAAGTTACTTTCATCCTGGCCAATTACTCAGCACCTCCATTGTGGGTCATCAGGAATGGTTGAAAGAGTTAATGGGATGCTTAAAACCTCTCTTGCTAAATTCTCTGAGGACCTAGGCACCCCTGGCCCAAAGCCCTTCCTTTAGCTTTGTTAAACCTTAGGTCCAGACCATTTGGTTCCCATAAGCTCAGTCCCTATGAGATAGTAACAGCCTACCCAATGCCACTGTACCCGTGGGTGGGAAGCATAACAGCCAAAGGGCCCCTCCTACAATACTGCATTGGGTTGGCTTAGAAGATATCAGAGACTTACTCACTTGTCTCACAGTTCCTTCCAGTCTTTAGAAACTCCAACCAAAACTCGGTCCCTGATCCAACCTGGTGACTAGGTCTACAGGAAACATCATCTCCGAAAACACTCCTTGGAGCCAAGGTGGAAAGGCCCCTTTGAAGTCCTGCTTGGCATCCACACTGCAGCCAAATTCGGGGGAGTGGAGTCCCGGACCCACCTGTCACATCTCAAAAGGGCAGTACTGCCCACTTGGATTTCAGGACCCTCTGGTAACCTGACCCTACAGATTAAATGGGGTCAGAAGCAGCTGACATCTGAGGTGGCCAGCTGTTCCCAAGACCCTGAGGATGAGAAGATGACAGCTGATGTAGACTACCAACCCAAGAATGGGACATGGCCTGAGATCTGCAGTTACTCCCTGTATGAACCAAGTCTTTGTTTTTCCTCTTTGCTACTGTCCCTTCAACCTCTTAATGTTCATGGAAGGAGTGGTTTTCCCTTTCGCTTGGATGTTGTACTTATCTCCTTAAGTTGTGATTTAAGTTGTGATTAATGAAAATTTTGCTATTTAAGGTAAAAATTCCTGGGACTGTAGTTTGTTTTGAGCTTTGATTTCAGAAATAGTTGTCTGAATTGTCACAAGACCAATAATAGAAAATGGCATGCGTGGCAGTCTGAGGACTGCTAAGGTGGCTGTCTTCACCTGGCAAAGTTTGTGAGGAAAGGTTGTGATTTAGGACACAACCTAGATAGGATCTTCCTGACTTTATTTCCCCATTGTGTTATTTCCTTTCTGAAAAAGGAAAATTCTCACCTGGTCAATCCTGTGCCTTGCTTTAATACTCTGTAACTACATGATTGGCTGTCAGATGCGACTCATGCCTGGAATCAAACAGAGTTAAGGGAGTTTTCCCCCTTGTTTGTCTCTCTTTTTCCCTTTTATAGCAAGTTTCTATAATCAAAAAAAATTTTTTTTCCAAAATCATGTTTCAAATGAATGTTCCTCACCAGCCTTCAAGGGTTGTGCTGACTTTTTTGGCTGAAAGGAGGGAATGAGAAGAGAATTCATAATTTTCATATTAATTGATATGATATGTGGAAATGAATATACTCACAATTTAGTTTTTTCAAGCGCTGACTCTGGCTTGGGAGTCAGAGCTCACGATGCAGCTTAAACTGATTAATCAAAATTCTGACAATGCTCACAATCACTGGATCTTAAGTAAAGCTGATGGGGGTGCTTGGGTGCTTATACTTGGACCATACTTCCAAGATCATATTTCTCTCTAGCCTCAAAACACTCTCCCTGGCAGTTCTTTCCCCAGCCCAAAGACCCTGTCTCTGGCCATAATTCACGAGGGGGCCCAGTGAGGTCAATTATCTCACTATCTCTTCCTGTTACAAGAACAAAGTGACCTCTGTAGAATTGCCCTTGTATGAATAGATTATCTTGTGTCGACAAAACTATCACGTACTGATTCCCACAGTCACTGTATACGATCCAGAGGCCAAGTTATAGACATCAACTCTGGAAGCGATCTTGTGACAGACATAACCTACACTCCTTGAGAACCCCCCTCCCCGGTTTCTAGCAGGGAATGATGCCTGTGACTCAGGTTGTATCTTATCACCTAATTAGCACACTTGGCACACTGTCTACTACCACTCCTATGTAAGCTTTAGCATCATTCCTGTAAGGCTGCAGGATCCCTTAGGGAGGCCTGCCTGCCATATTAGTGTTATAAGAAACCTTTGCCAACTTGATGCCCACCAGCATTAAAGAATGCTTGAGTCCTTGAATTTGTTCCAGATGACCCTGTCCTGTACTCTGGTCCCTGAGGGGTCCCTGAGCCTCTAAAACCACGTCAAAGATTGAAGAACCTGTCGCTGTCACAGAACCCTGGTTCTGTAGCGGTCACGACCCCAAAGACGGCTCTAGAACGGTCGTATTGTGGGCCTTAGGGGCTTCTCGATGATTGTTTGTGATCCGCTTTCCCCCTCCTTCCCCAGTTGTGCTTGAAGTACATAACCCATGCTTTTACTTTGGCTAAGAGAACATTCCTCACTCTGAAACTGATTAATTAAACGAGTTGATTACTGGCACTCCTGTCTCTAGGCCAGCTTTGCGAGTCTCTGAGCATTTTCAGGTTAGAGACTGGCTCAGTAGAAATCCTGTTGAAAGTTTAAATCTGGCTTCAGACACTTAGTAGCTGTGTGACCCTGGGCAAGTCACTTCACTCCGTTTGCCTCAGTTTTCTCATCTGTAAAATGAGCTGGAGAAGGAAATGGCAAATCACTCCAGTATCTTTGCCAAATGGGGTCACTGAGAGTCAGACACAAGTGAAAGTACTGGACAACAACATGGAGAAAGCTGTTGACAGAATAAGGTGGAAATGATTAACAGAGGGAAGGCACTGTCGTTAAGAGGAATGGGAAAAGCCTTCCTGTAGAAGGTGGAATTTTAGCTGGGACCTGAAGGAAGCCGGGGAAGCCAGGAGGCAGAGATGCCCTGGAGACTCTGGACTTCATTTCCAGTCCTGCTGCTTTCTAGTTGTGAGACCTTTGGCAAAGCACTTCCCCTACTGGACTCTTAGCTTCTTCATCTGTGAAGTGGGGATGGGTGGTGTTTGACCTGCTATTTAAGGTCTTCTACTCTGACAGCATGCCTCAGTGGAATCAGCGGGGCCACTGGGGTCAAAAGACCTGGGTTGGAATCCTAGCTCTGACAGCTTGTTACCTTGGGCAAGTCACTGAAAGACCTGGTTAGTTTCTTCAACTGTAACATAAGGAGGTTGGACTGGGTGGCCTCTGTGACTCCTTAATTTGATTCAATTCAATAAACATTTATTCAGCAACTGCTATGGGCCAGGCAAGATTCAAAAAGAGCCAAGGACAGTCCTTGCCTTCAAGGGCTTATAGTCTAATGGGGGAGACTAGGAGCAAACTAATGTCCACAAAGCAAGCCAGGCACAGGATAAATGGGAAATATTTGAGAGGGAAGGCTTTGGAATAGAGAGCTCTCCCGAAAATAAGATATACAGGAAATGAGGTATAGAAATCTATCATGCCCTACTGGAGAATTGAAGGGAAAGGGGATAAGAGAAGGGGGGCAGGGAGAAGGGAGGGCAGATTAGGGGAAGCCATATTCAGAATGCATGCCATCTTGGGGTGGAGGAGGGACGAGATGGGGAGAAAATTTGGAACTCAAAATCTTGTGGAAGTGAATGTTGAAAACTAAAAATAAATAAATTAATAAAAAAAAGAGAGCTCTCCAGAGCTAGAGTCCTATGACATTCTGTGCATTGACTTTTCAACCCCTTTCCAGTTGTCCAAATTCTTAATGTCCTGTGTTTTGATAATCCCCTTGTTTTCACAGAAGTGCTAACCTGCGTTCCTTTTACTCTTACCATAGAATATCTAACCACAATATGTTCTATTTATGTTGATTTGTTGTTCAGTCATGTCTGACTCTCCGTGACCCCATTTAGGGTTTTCTTGGCAGAGATACTGGAGGGGTTTGGCGTTTCTTTCTCCACCTCATTTTACAGATAAGGAAACTGAGGCTAACAGGGTGAAGTGACTTGCCCACAGTCACACAGCTAGTAAGTTATGACTCCAAACTTCTTCCACTCGGAATCTATTTTCTGACATTCCAAGCTCCTTCCCAGCTCAGACATTTTCTGTCCTAACGCCATGTTTCAGAATCCTTTCTTCTCCGACAATCCACCTTTCTTTTTACTCTGTGTCTAATATCTGGATTGTTAGGTCGCTTCCCTTTTGCCAGTTTATGTTCTATGTGCTGACACTCAGTTCTAACGCCCCTCGCTCCGGCTCCCAGGCACACTCGGCGTTCTAAGGCTCCCGGCACTGTCCAACGTTCTAAAGCTCTTCGCTCTCAGACCAGCCCATAGTCCATGTGGGATCTGACACCCAGAGTTGCAAAGCGCACAGTCCATGCCCCAGAGTTCTAAAGGCCCTCCCAGTCTGGCCATCTAAAGTTCTGGGCCTCTTTCCACGAAAGGCCAGTTCTCAGGCTCTCTCCCCGGCTCTGGTGCTGAGGGGCACCAGGGACGAGGTGAGAGCCGCCCCTTTCCCTCCCTAGGCCCCGCCCCGAGCTGGCGCGGGCTGACGGAGGACGTTGGGGGCTGCGCCCGCTGTCAGGAGCGAGTCACCAGCCTCCGAGCCCAGACCTAGGAGGAGCTGGGATGCCACTTCCCCGGCGCCGGCGCTCCTGATTGGCCGCCCGCGGTAGCCTGAGCGGGGGTCCCCAGGGCCTGGGGAGGGGCAGCCCGTGCCTCTTTCCCTCCCGGCTCTTCCCTCCCTGGTCCTACTTGACCAGCACCCCCGCCACGCATGCCAAATAGGCCCTGGTTGCTCTTCAGGTGAGTCTGCTTGGCAGCTGCGGGCAGCTGGATCCTGGAGAGGACGAACTGGGAGGGGTGGCGGGTCCAGAATCTCCGGGCTCTGGGCTTGGGGGCTGAGGTACGAGAGTTGCGAGCGCTGACCCCTGTCCTCCAGGTCTCCTCTGCCAGTGTACTTGGGTGGCCTTGGGCAACTCAGTTAAGTTGTCCCTGCCTTCACTTTCCCCGCTGTAAGCTGAGGCGGGCTGCTTTCTCAAGAGGATGGCCAAAGTCCTTTCCAGCGGGAAACTCTTGCGACCATTGGGCAAGGCACCCAATTTCCCCTTGGAAACGAAAGGCTGGACTCGATGGGCTTTAGGAAGGTTTTGAGTGCTAGCTGGCACCCCTGGGCACCGTCTGGCCCCGAACAACCAGAAAGGGTCTTTCGTGTGTGTGTGTGTGTGTGTGTGTGTGTGTGTGTGTGTGTGTGCGTGTGTGTTAGAAATTTTATGCAGAGCTTGTGCGAAGGGTCATCTACGGATAGAGTTAATTTCGGTTTTGGAGGGGAGGAGGCAAAGGATGTAGATTTACTTAAGTGATCAGCTTTACTTTCGTCTGTGTTCACCTACCCACCTTTGATTCCTTTCCAAACTGAGTCTTAGCTGTAGCTTCTTGCCTTCTAATTGAATGTAAATTCTTTGAAGGATTTTTTTTTCTTTTCAGTATGTGTATCCCTAGTGCCTGGCAGTCAGTCGACTAGCATTTATTAAGCCCTCCTATGTGCCATGCCAGGCATTGTGCTAAGTTCTGGGGATACAAAGAAAGTCAAGAACATAGCATAGCCACTGCGTTCAAAAAGAGGGTTTTCTAATGTGGAAGATAGCATGCAAACTGACCCCTGGATCTGCTGGATAAATGCTTTCAAGTTGATGGAGAGGAAGGGACTGTGGAGTGGACAGAGAACAGGACTGGGTTCCAGTTCCATTCCTGAAACTCCCTAGATGTGGAAGGTGTGTTGGTTGCAATGGAAAGAGAAGACAAGGAGTCGGTAGACCTTGGTTCAAATCCTCTATCTGCCTGGGTCCCAGCCTCCCCAGGCTTGTCTCCTCATCTATAAAATAAGGAGGCTGGAGCAGATGGCCTCTGAGACCCCTCTGATCTCACACCAGTGACTTCCCAGTGAGGACATTCAGAGCCAGGAGGGAACTTAGAAGTCAGCTAGCCCAAATGGGGAAACTGAGGCCCTGAGAAGTAGTGACTCACTGAAGGTCCCACAGGTAAGGTGGGGAGGTGGCAAAGGCAAGATTTGAATGCAAATGCTTCTTCAAAACTGTCTCAGCCTTGGAGGTCTCAGCTTTAATGTTGAATCATTGGAAGTTACTATCATTTGGTGTTAGGTAGAGGCAGGAGGTCAAGAAGCTGGAGGCTCCTGCTCACTCTTCTTCCCCTCATGTGCATTCTCTATGGCGTTTCACTTTTCTTGGAGAAAACCGACGATGACCCTCTTGATGTGTCATTCTGCCAGGGACCAGGAGGGAATGGAGGCTGGCGCTAAGTGGGGAGGAGACGGTTCAGATCTAAGAGACAGGCAGAAAGAGACAGAGAGCAGGAGAGAAAGAGAGAGAGAGAGAGGGAGAGAGAGAGAGAGAGAGAGAGAGAGAGAGAGAGAGAGAGAGAGAGAGAGAGAGAGAGAGAGAGAGAGAGAAAGAAACTATTGAGAGAGAGTGTGTTAGGGGGGAGATAGATTAACCTTAGGAGGAGATAGATTAACCTTCATTGTTGTTGAGTTTTCCTCTTCTGTGATTGCCCACTCAGGCTTTCTAGGGGAGAAGTTAACATTTACATTCAGGGCAAAGGGTATGGGAGATGCGGGTGGTGGAAAGCTTGGTCACTTGGTCAGATGTTAGTGGGCCTGAGGGGAGGGCTCCTTTGTCTTTCTCTCTTCCCTCTCTTTCAGTTCAGGCAATAAAAAAAATTTTTTTTTGCTTAGTCATAAAGACAGAATAATTTTTTTTCCTTTGAATCCATTGACATAAAAATTGCTTTTGGTGGTTTTTTAGAGGATCATAATTTAATTCAAAACAGCAGGCATTTATGAAACTCCTGCTGTATGAAGAGAGTACAATGCCAGGGGCTGAGGAGGAGATGAAACTGTGAGAAGACATGGGTCCTCACAGCATTTTTTAAAAAAGTTGTTTATTTAGTATTTTATTTTCCCCCAGTTACATGTAAAAACAATTTTTAACATTTGCTTTTAAAACTCTTGAGTTCCAAATTCTCTCCCTTCCTTCCTCCTCATCCCCTCATTGAAAAAGCAAGCAATTCAATATAGGTTATAATGTGTAGTCATGCAAAACACTTCCATGATAGTCACATTGTGAAAGAAAAATAGAGAAAAAATCAAGAGACATAAAGAAAGTTTAAAAAAAATACGCTTCAATCAGTATTCAGACACCGTCAGTTCTTTCTCTGGGGATGGAGAGCATTTTTCATTGTAAGTCCTTCAGGGTTGTCTTGATCATTGTATTGCTGAGAACAGCTAAGTCAGTCACAGCTGATTATCTTACAATATTGCTCTTACTTTGTACAGGTACACATCACTTTGCATCAGTCCATGCAAGTCCTTCCAGGTTTTTCTGAGAGCATCCTGCTCATCATTTCTTATAGCACAGTAGATTCCATCATAATCACATACCGCAACTTGTTCAGCCATTCCCCAATTGATGGGCATCCCCTCAATTTCTAATTCTCTGCCCCCCAGAAAAGAGCTGCTATAAATGTTTTTGTATATATAGGTCCTTTTTTTTTTAAAATCTCTTTTAGGATACAGATGTAATAGTGGTATTGCTAGGTCAAAGAGTATGCCTGGCTTTATAGCCCTTTGGACATAGTTCTGAATTGCTCTACAGAATGGACCTCACAGTGTTGTAGCTGGTTATTAACAGCTAGGGACATCTTAAGCAAAATCAACCAATATGTAGAATCTGAGAGTATATCCCATGCTTCCCACCCCTAGTCCCCCAACTCTGCCTTTAAGGGAGAGAGGTACATTTTTTCAACTCTCGTCTAGGGTCAAGTTTGATCATTATTGTTACAATGCTCCTTTGTTAACAGCTACCTTATTCTGTGCAGAATGCCAAAGTGGCTTTTGATCCTGGCGGCCTCTGTGGTCCTTGGCTTGGTGCATTCAGAGGAAGATTCCAGGAAGAAGAGACATGTGAATCCTGAAGCATACATGAATATTGTGAGTTTCCTCCAAGGAGATTTGGGGAATGCTTGGGAGAAAAAAGTCTGTGGCAGCTTTCTGGGGCCTGCTCTGCCTCCCTGAGGAGTTGACATTGGGATTCGGCTCATAGTTGCTTCTTCTTCCTCCCAATCTTTCTTTTGGCCCAACCCTTAAGATGCTGTTTCCACCCCCATCTCCTTCATTTTTCTTTCTCTCCCCTCTCTTCCCTTCTTCTCTTCTTTCCTTCTCTCCTTTCTCTCCTTCTCTCTCCACCTTCCCTGTCTCTTCTCCCTCCCCTTCTTTCTTCTCTTTTCCTCTTTCCTCTCCTCTCTCCTTCATCTCTCTTCCCTCCCTCTCTCTTCATTTCTTCTCTTCTTCCTCTCCTCCCTCTCATCTCTCTATTCTTCCTTCTTTTCTCCTCTCTCTTCTTCATCTCTTCTCCTCCTCTTCTATTCCCTCTCCTCACCTTCATCTCCTTCTCTCCCCCTCTTTTCTTTCCTTCCTCTCCCTTCTCTAATGTCTCTCTCTGTCTGTCACTGTCTCTCTCTGTCTCTCTCTCTCTCCTCCTCCTCCCTTCCCTTTTCTTCCTTTCTCCTTCAGTCTAGCACATTCATTCAAGGTTAAATGATTCCTTTCCTCATTCCTTCTTTTCATTGGTCAGAAAATACACCCAAGCCTGCCACCCCCAGATCATTCTTAACCTCACTGAATATAGGAGTGAGGTGGTTTTTTCCAAGTCAGTTTCGGCCTCCCCCGGTTTCACGATGACCATCATGCTAATTAAATTTGGCCCAATCATGCAAAGTTGCAGCATCTCCAAGATGATTAAAAAGTGGCATGACTGATGTTTTTAGTTTGCTTTTTAAAATTTTTTTTATTAATTTTTTTGATTTGTCGACAATCACTTCCATAAGCTTTTGAGTTTTAAATTTTCTCCCCCTCCTTTTCCACCTCCTTCCCCAAGACAGCATCCAATCTGATATACATTCCTATTAAACATATTTTCACATTAGTCATATTGTAAAGAAGAATTAGAACCAATAGGAGGAACCACCAGAAAGAGGAAACAAAACAAAACAGAAGAAAAAAAAAGGGAAAATAGTCTGCTCCGATCTGCAGTTCTTTCTTTGGATGTGGATAGCATTTTCCATCACTCTTGGAGATGTTTTAGATCCTTGCATTGCTGAGAAGGGCCAAGGCTGTCAAAGTTAATGACTGATGATTTCAGACAAACCCATGAGGCCTTCTCTGTCATGTTCACAGATTTTAAGACCCTAGAGCTATAGAGGGAAGGGACCTCCAAGGCCATCTAGTCTGACCTCATTTTACAGCTAAGGAAACTGAGGCTTGGGGAGAGTGATTGGCCCAAGGTCACACAGGCAGGACTTGAACCCAGGGCCTCAGACTCTAGAGCCAATTCTCTTCCCACTGTACCACACTGCCTCCTCTTTTTCAGTATCCTAAATGCCATTTGCAGAGCAGTCTGATGAATACAGTAGGTGGTCTCCTTGGGGAAAATCTTATTTTTGCTCAAGAAATGAGGCAGGTTCATGGAGTAGACAGGCTGATAATCCAGTGTGGTTTATGTGGTCTCATAAAGAGGAGCGCTGCAGAGGTTTTGGCATTGTTGGAATAAGTATCGATCCTTCCAAGGTGACTACTTGGAAGGAGCCAGCACATACAGAGATGGATAAGTGCTAGGGCTCTCAGACCTCCTCGGTGTGGGTGCTCCCTTTACTGGCACAGCCTTTGCTGTCTGTCTTGTTGAAAATGCTCCATTGAGAATCTTCCCATTTTTAAAACAAAAATAAGGTTTTTGGAAAAGGACTTGAAAGCCTTCTTTTCATATTTGGTAAGATCCTCTGTGCTCCCAATCCTTGTGCATACCAAGCTACTTTACCTGTTGTTTCACTGTCAGCCTTCCATCTCCCACCTCTGGGCCTTTGTCCAGGCATTCCCAGAGCTCAGAAAAGCAACCCTCCACTCCCCTCCACTCTTTTGAATGGGCTCAGGTCAGGCATCACCTCTAGGAAGCCAGCCCTGCTCTTCCTAGTCCTCAGTGTTTTCTCCCCTTTCAGTTCATCAAGTTTCTCATTTTGTTTCATTCCCATGTTGCATCCTCCCAACAGAATGCAAGCCCCCTGAAGACAGGGCCTGCTTTTCATTTTGTCTTTAATTTCCTACCACCTGGCATATAGTTAGTGACTAATAAATGCCCTTTTGATTGAATTTAAGGGGAAGATCACGGCTGATTAGTAAGTGAGGCTTGTCATTTTTGACATTGCCATGACATTTGGGATTGGGGTAGCTGCCGCCCGATTGGTCATTTAGCTGAGTCAAGTCGGTCACTCTCAGCCACTGGTTTTAACTTCTCTTTTTCATTTCCATTTTTAACCTTTTGTCCCACACCCTGCTCTTCCCCAAGACCTTTGAATAGAATCGGTTTTGTTGATTTTAGTTCTTCTTGTTCTCCTTTTTATCCTCTAATTGGAGAAACCATTGGCTGTGAAAAGGAGAAGTAGGGGCCTGAATAACCCATGGGGGTGTTGGAGTGGGGGCTAGTAAGTTCCCTGAGGAGTGGAGGAGACTCTTCACTTGAGTGCAATCTATAGTATATTCATATGGAAACTGGATCAGAGGTCACCCAAAGAGAGAAAAGGAATAAGTCACTGGCTTCTTTCCCCTTGGCTTCAGTTCCTTCTCTTCCTTCAGCTTTTGAGTGGATCCATAGGATCAACTTAACAACCTAATGGAGTTGTGGGGTAGGCCTAGAAGGACCTAGGAGGAAGAGAGGGTCCCCTGTGGTTCAGGACATCAGAAGGGCAATGGTAGATTTGGCAATTCTGAGTGAGTAGGATTTGGCCCTGGAAGAGGAGAAAGAAGTCCTGGGATGTTCAGCTCCATAGTAGGCAATCAGTCAATAAACACATACCGAGCCCTTACTATGTGTTAGGTGTTATGCTAAACACTGACGATATAAAGAAAGGCAAAAAAAAATGGTGCCTGGCCTCAGGGAGCTCCCATTCTAGTAGGGGAGACTTCATGCACCTAAAGAGATGCATACAAGGTACATACAGAGTAGATGGAAGGTAATGGGAGAAGAGACAGTGCCAACAGTCAGGAAGAAGAAAGGCAGCCTGTGAAAGCTGGGGAAGCTAAGGCAGAAGGGTGAGGAGGGAGAGCTTGGTGAAGAGCAGGGCTCAAAAGTCTCCGTCAACAAGAGGGAGCAATCTCTGCTCCTTTGCTGGGAAGATAAAGACCCGAGGGGCGGGAAAGGCTCCCAATGCCTGGACCAAGCTGGGGATCCACTAAAATAAAATCGTTTTTTATTATTAACATATCTGTCACCAACAAAAACAAACATTCCAATACCCAAAAAACAAAAAGCAATGAGGTATGAGACTGAACTTGCATGTCTGTTACATAGAAAACAACGTAGATTCAATGTAACAAAGTTGTAACTCAATCCTGCTTATTTTTCAGTGCTCCTTTCTGAACTTATTTTTGCTTTCTTCTGTGATTTTTTTTCATATCTATGACTACCCACCAATTCACCCCCTCCCCGCCCCCTGCCAAGCTCTCCTTCATAACAGGTAAATATAGTCAAACAAAACCAATCAACACATTGGCCATGTTGGAAGGTGAATGGGACCCACATTTATAGCAGACGGAGAGTTGGTTTGAGTCTCTGGACACTAGACTCTTTTCATATGGACGGTGGGATTCGAAGAGACCTGTTTAGGGATGTCCTGTGGCCTGCCCCATGAATGATCTTGAGAAGGCTGGGCCTCATTTAATAATTGGAAAGATATGGTCTCCTGTCCAGTCTGATGAACGTTATTGCCCCCTCCCCCTTTCCCCCATTAATCTCTTGGCTGTCCTCAGGTTTTCCCCCCCGAGTCACCATTTGATTTTTTCTCCCTACAGAGTGAAATTATCTCCTACTGGGGCTTTCCCAGTGAGGAGTATGATGTTGTGACCGATGATGGCTACATCCTAAACGTTAACCGAATTCCACATGGCAGAAAGAATGGATGGGGCAAAGGTATGGAGATTTCCAAGGGAAAAATGCCTCCCATTTATTTGGGGCATATTATGCCTATTACTTTGGATTTTTGCAGTGTTTATTTTTTGTTGATGATTGCTAGGTTTCTAATGATATAAAACAGCAGCCCCTTGTATGGGGTGTGTTGAAAACCTCTCCCCACCTCCAATGGGACAGATGCTGCAGGAGGGCAGAGACTATTTTGTTTGCCTGGTATCCCAGTGAGTACAATGCTTTTGTACCTAGCAGGTACTTAATAAATGCTTATCAAATAAATGAATGAATGAATGAATGAATGAGGAAGGGCAGCCTCTGGGAGGGGGCCAGCTCTCAGAGACTGACTGCAGCAGATGAGAATATCATCCCTTTGTCAGGATTTTTCAACCTGGGAACCCAGAAGGGTCCTTGTCTATAAGACTCTAAGCTAAAACTCTCTAAAGTAAACAATGTTGATAAATGCTTCCTGTTTTAAAGGAAAAACAAAGTAAGAAGAAGCATCTTCTCTCAAGGGCCTGGTGGAGGGAAGGAATGTAGGCTCAAATCAGTGCTGACATGGGGATCTGGGAGGGAAGCTGCCAGTCATTCATTCACGTCCGACTTTTCGTGACCCCATGGACCACAGCACGCCAGGCCCTTCTGGCCCCCACTTTCTTCTGAAGTCTGTCCATGCTCATGTTCATTGTTTCCATGATGCCATCTATCCATCTCATCCTCTGCCATCCCCTTTCCTTTTGCCTTCAATCTTTCCCAACCTCAGTCTTTTCCATTGAGTCCCATCTTCTCATTATGTGGCCAAAGTATTTAAACTTTAGATTCAGTATTTGACCTTCCAGCGAAGAGCCTGAATTCATTTCCTTAAGTACTGACTGATTTGATCTCCTTGCTGTCCAAGGAGCTCTCAAAAGTCTTCTCCAGCACCACAACTTGAAATCGTGTATTCCACAGCACCCAGCTTTCTTTATAGTCCAACTCTCACAGCCATGCATTACTACTGGAAAAAACAGAGCTTTGACTATATGGACCTTTGTTGGTAAGGTGATGGCTCTGCTTTTTTAGTATGATGTCCAAATTTACCATAGCTTTCCTTCCAAGGAGCAAGTGTCTTTTAATTTCATGGCTGCAGTCACCCTCTGCAGTGATCTTTGAACCCTAGAATATAAAATCTGACACTGCTTCCATTTCTTCTCCCCCATTTACCAGGAAGTGATAGGACAAGTTGCCAAGATCTTAGGTTTTTGGTGTTAAGCTTCAAGCCAGCTTTTATACCCTCCATTTTTTACTCTCATCAAGAAGCTTTTTAATTCCTTTTTACTTTCTGCCATCAGAAGGGGGAAGGGCCTGTTGCTTTTCCTGGGACAGGGGAGGGGGAAGAACAAAGCAGGGACTTCTCTCCTTCATTTCCTATTGCTAGCAGTGGTGGTATCAGAGTGGGGCTATTTGGCTTTTGCTCTCCCAGGTTTTTTCCCAGTTTCTCATCTACCCTAGCTGGGTCTCCAAAGCTGTGTGGTTTACCTCAGAGATGCTGTGATTATGCTTTGTGTGGATTGTGACTGTGTAGAAAGTCTCAGTGATCCATCCATGGCTAGGGTGCTGCTCAACACCAGCTCTGGGATCAGGCCCCAGAAAGTCTGAGCCATTGAAGAGGCCTGAATCCCTCCGTCCTCTGCCTCACTCGCCTTCTGCTCCTTGGTTGAAAGAGCTTCTGGGCTTCTGGGGGAGCTCGAGGCAAACCCTATCCCAGTAGCTTCTTAGAAATATAAAAGGAAGGGTTTGCCTGCAGAGGATTGGGAGTAAGGTCCTTGGCAAGCTGGGGGCTCCAGAGATAATCCAGGCCACTTCCCAGTTGAGGAAAATGAGACGCAAAGAAGGGAAGGACCCAGAGAAGACTGGGGGGTTGTGGTAGGGGATAGGCAGGCTGGGGGGAGGGGGAAACTTGATGTTTGTCTTCAAGTATTTGAAGGAGGCATTAGATTTATTTTTCTTGGTCCCCCAGACCAGAAGCAGGAGCAGTGGGTAGAAGTCACAAAGAGGCAAACTTAGGCTGAGTATCAGGAAAAATTTGCTAATGATTAGGGGTGTCCAGAAGTGGCATGGGCTGCCTGGAGGAGTGGTGAGTTCCCTGTCCATGGGGGTCTCCAAGCAGAGGCTGGATGAACATTTGTTGGGGAAGTGTGGCAGAAGGGATTCCTTTTGGGGTATGGGTTGGACTTGATGACTGCTGAAGTGTCCCCTCCAACTCTTAAATTCTGTGACTCAGTGTCTTCCTGTGGCCAAAAGCTATTGAGTGAAAGAGTGAGGAGAAGGATGTGTCTGTTCAGAGAGAAAGCCCATCTACTCTGTGGCCTTTGAAGATGGACTGTGTGACTCTAAATCCACTGCACTGATGGAGGGATCAGGGACTGGGAGGAGAGGAACCTCGGATGGAAAGATGGAGCTGAGAGAGGAAAGATGGAGCTGAGGGAGGAAAGATGGAGCTGAGGGAGGAAAGGTGGAGCTGAGGGAGGAAAGGTGGAGCCGAGGGAGGAAAGATGGAGCCCAGGGTAGAAGATGGAGCCCAGGCCCCCAAGGGCCCCAGGTTATAGACATGTGAGGCACAAACGAACCTCATGACTGTCAGCAGAGCACAAGATCTGTCTGTGTAGACGAGAAGAGGAAATAGGCCGAGTGTTGGGCTTTTCCACTTGAATGAGTAAGGACAAATATGTGGTCCTTTGGGGAATGAAAGTTGGATCGGTGCCTATCCATTACCAGTAGTGGCCTCTGTCAAAATATAATCAATGTGTACTCAAGGAGAAAGAGAGGCTGAAGCTGAGATAGTGGAGAGAGCCCTGAGCCTGGCAGCCAGCCAGGAGGCGAGGTCTAGCATGTGCTTGGCCATCAGAGTTGAGGATGATTTAGAATTGGGAGTGGCTGGACAGAGAGGTTGCTGGAGAGCAAGGCCAGGCAGGGCTCTTTTTGCTCTGACAGTTTATTTTTAAAATTTAACTTTTTTTTAAAATTACATTTTAAGTTCCTTTCTCCCTCCCCATCCTATACTAGAGAAGGCCACTGTTTGACAGATTTGTAACTCTGTGTAAAACCATGCTATGCACACTTCTATTCACCAGCCCTCTCTCTGGGTGGATGGCATCTTCCTTCATGGGTCCTTCGTAGTTGATTTGATTATTTATAATATTCTCAATAGCTTAATCATTCACAGCTGTTCTTCAAACAATATTTTTTTCCCTTCTGTCCTTTAAACCAGTCCAGTAAGTGTGCGATCCCTGCATTCCTGGCATAAATCCCACTTGGTCATGATGGCTAATCTTTGTGAAATATTGTTGTAGTGTCCTAGTTAGGATTTTATTCAAGATTTTTGCATCCATATTTTTTAGTGAAATTGGTCTATAATTTTCTTTTGCTGTGTTTGCTCTTCCTGGCTTAGGGATCAGCACCACATTTGTTCATAAAAGGAGTTTGATAGAATCCTTTCTTTGCCTGTTATTTCAAATAATTGATTTAATATTGAAATTAGTTGGTCTTTAAATGTTTGGCAGAATTCACTTGTAAATCTGTCTGGTCCTGGTGCTCTTTTCTTAGGAACCTCATTTATGGCCTGTTCAATTTCTTTTTCTAAAATAGGTTTATTTAGCTCTGATAGTTTATTCGAGGATCTCGAGCTGGGTCCCGATTATTCTGCCCTTCCCTCTGAGATGGAAAAGAAGGCACAATTAAAAAGAAAATTCTGAACTTCAAACCCCCAAAAGAGAACATTTCCATTTATTCAGCAGGATACAAAAAAGACGATTCTGTATGAAACTGTAAATCTCCATTTTGTACTATTTGCTTAAAAAAAGAAAAGAGAAGAAACATGCATGTAAGACGTGCTGAGTGTTACTTTTAAAGCTTCCCTCTTGGTTGTGCCTCTGTCTGACTTTGCCGTCCCAAAGTGAAATGCGCCCCTTTGGGAGGTGGTGTTCTCCCCCTCGCTGGAGGGCTCCAGGCAAAGGTTTGGATGAATGTGAGCTCCTTGAGGGCAGGGACTGAGGTTTGAAAGTTCTTTGTGTCTGCAGTGCTTGGCACATAGTAAGTACTCAATAAATACTCATTGACTGACTAGTTGTGAGGGATGCTATGGAGGGAGTTCTCAGTGTGGTTCAGGTTGGTCTAGATGGGCCTGAGGACCTTTCCAACTTGGGATTCGAGGTCTCCATGATTGTTGACAGCAGAGACTGTCTTTCACCTTTCTGTATTCCCAGCACTTAGTGCCTGGCACATAGTAGGCTCTTAAGTAATGTTGATCGCTTGATTGTTTCTGTCTAGCCTGATCAGTAGGGCCTCCTAATGTTCAAGCCACTCATTCCTTGGTCTCCTGCCTTTAGCACTGTGCCAAGAGCATTTTATTTGGAGTCAGAGGACCTGAGTTCCTCTTCCATTCACTCTTTGTGTGACCCTGAGCAAATCACTTCCCCTCTCTGGGCCTCAGTTTGCTTATCTGGAAAAATGTAGGAGTTGGTTTAGAAGCTCTCCAAAGTCCTTCTAGCTCAAGGCATATGGCATTCCCCACAGCAACCCCGGGGGTGGGGTGGGGAAGGATTTCAATTATGATGTCCATTTTACAGATATGCACACTGAGGAACAGAGGGTTGTCCAGGAAGTGCCTGAGGCAGGCTTTGGGGGGGGGAGAAGATAGCTTCCACCCTGCAGGGGTTGTTGTAAGGGTCAGATAAAGAACTTTGCAAACGTACTAATAATTATGATTATTGGGATGAACCTGTGATTTCAGCACCACAGAGAGCAACCAGCGAAGTATTTCCTTTACCAGTTCACATGCCCCCCTCTGTGACTTGAGTCTTAGAGACTTACCTGGGGCCAAGTGACTTGCCCAGGGTCGTAGAGCCTAGATGGATCAGAGGTAGGGCTTGAACCCAGATCAGCTCCCTATTGACTATGTTTCTCCTTTTCTCCCTTCCTCCCCTCCTCCTGTTTTTCCTCCCCTCCCCCTTCCCCAGTACAGGTCC